CACATAAGGAACTATGGTAATAGATTTAAAACCCGGTCTGGAGATGAGGAATATAGGGTATTGTGAAAGGAAGTTGTTTTGAGTGGATTGAGGTGGTTTGCCGCAATGAGGTAGACAACCTTTAGTTTTGTTTTTTGGGCAGGGTAAAAGTCTGGGCACAAAAAAGCATAAAAAGACTACAGTGTAAATTAACCCAAAATAAGCAGAGGCCATATTTTATATTACAGCCAATAGATTAGGAAATAATCTGAGAGAGGGATGATCATGGATGCTACTGTCTACATACTATATTTCAATACAGTACTCCAGCATTTCCCAGACAATATTTGAAGCTACTAATATTATAAATGATATATTCTAAAGAGTGTCTGAGAGCAATACCACATTTGTATGGTAATATAATTAAAGACCATATTGTAATGTGTACACAACAAGGGGACCAACAATTAAGGTTATACAAGCAACCTTAATTCTGGTACTTCCTAAGTTATGAGTGATTGACTTTGCAACTATAACATTCTTCTAATGTAGCTTTTGGTATCTAATTTCTTAGTTTTTTTTTTTTTAAAGCAAACTAGAAAAAAATACAGATTTTATCCATTGACTCCAAGATGATACATCAGCATGATTAGAACCTTTTAGATTCACAGCACAGACCTCTGCCTCTTAAAATAAGAGAGTCACTGACAGCAGTAGTTGAGTGGGTGTATGGATCAGCCACTAAAGGGAGATGAGAGATAGTCATGAAATCTATTGGCACAGTCTATTTGCTGACAGCAGAGGCATGCAGAGACTTGCGACTCCTGAGTTCTATTCCAGGTTCTGAGAGGAGTAACCTCTAATGGTTACAGACCAATGTTCCTGTTAGAGGACTTTTTCCTTCACCCTCTCACTTCCCTGGTCCTTCTCACATGAAGAGAGCAACAATGTCTGAAGGTGCAAACAACTCAATGTTTATTGGGGTGAACTTCCAGCAAGCTTAAATCCAAGTTCCTTTTTCCTTATTTTCAAATCCCAATTTACTTCTTGTTTGCCCCTAATTTATATAGTAATATTCTCAGCTATGCCTTAACCAATCATTTTACTGAAATTTACCTAACTAATCCTAGCATATTGTAACATTATTAGCTAACCAATTGTATCCCACCACCTTAATTAGTTTACACCCAGCAAAATTAATTCTACAGCAGACAGAAACAATCACAGAATCAGACAGAGACCATGCAAATAAACAATAGCAAAGTGGGAACTATAATGACAAAACAATACAGAAGTGAGGATTTCACAACTACCTCTATAAAGACATAAGGGTTTCCCAGCTGTGTCTATTGATAAATCAGTTCTTACCAAACAGAAAACTATCAAACTAAATTTCCTTTTACATCTTCTAGGCTCTTCCCTTTCTCTGGACGTGATAGATCGGATCACCTTTCTAACAGCCCCCGATGGCCTTATTTCAATGTGACTAGTTTGGAATGGGAGGATGTGACCAAACGCTTCCCAGCTGATGGCTGCCTCTGCTGCTTAGCCAAAGGCCTTAGCTTAAGAACAGGGCCTCAGATTGTCACAGTGAGAGAAGGCCCTTACACGGGTAGACAGTGATTTTGATTCTTTCTTTTATACCTCTATAACTAGCTAAATGATAAACGTATGTGTGTGAGCGAGGGGGAGAGAGACACCCCTTTAAGTATGCTGCCCTTTTAAGTAGATTGGCACTCACCAGTCTGAAGCCTGCTTGTTCAGACAAGCAGCAGCAGCCAGCAAGCTCCCTCCATCCCACCCCTGATGTCCCCCTTACCTGCTCTGCAGAGATGGGGTACAAGGGCAGAGGATGGGTGGGGATAGGGAGGCACCCAGACATCAGCACTCCCCTCCCCCTCCACTCTGCACAGCAAGCAGGAGGCTCCCAGGAGCAGCTGGCCAGGAGCTCCAAGGCAGAGGGAAGGAGCAGTATGGCAGTGTGGGGAGGGGCACCTGAAGTGCGTGGCACTTGATAGACTGCTGGGTAGCCGCACAGCTTAAAGGGAACTTAGTTACAGACCTGTCTGCCCATGTCCTTCCTGCCCCACCTCCACCTTTGGCTCCTCATCTAGTCAACCCACTGCATTTTAGTCAGGGTGCCACGCCAGCCATTGCAAGAAAAGTCCTGCAGCTCCATACTGGAGCATGCTCAGTGCAGATGGAATCTTTGGAAAATTTAGCTTTCCAACTCTAACAAGTCTCTACTGAGCATGTGTCAACTGAAGTTTTCATGGGGGCAGCAAAGGGCACATTCCTGATATCAGGCCACTCTCCCTCCCCTGCCTAATGTCAAGCCTCTGTTCCAAAGCACGGAGGCTCTAGAGCTTTTTAATTAAACGGTAAGAATATTTCAATATGGGCAAAACAATATATTTTCCCCTCACCTCATTCTAAGAAACTGCTGAGCACTTTTAGCTGAAATTAAAAAAAAAAATGCACCCTGAAGCAGACACAAGGCATGGAAAATTTCATGCCAAGTGATTGAGCAACATTAACTTTAGGCATAGTTACCCGCGCTGCCTATAATAATGACTCCAGGTAACAGCAGAGACCCTTCACCACATTTGTTGGAGACACCTTGCTCAAAAATGAAAGATTTGAGACAAGATGGTAATTGGGAAGAGTATTAGTGTCAAGAGAGGGTTTCTTGAGAAGAGTCTGAAAGTGGCTCACGTAATGGAAGCTTCTACCTTGTCTTCCTACTGGAGATGTTGACATTTTGCTTGCGTACAATTTTTGCATAATGACTCTTGTAGATCTGAGAAAATATGGCATGGAGAATTGTTTTGTAGTGACATAAGGCACTCAGACGTGGAAAAGGAGCGTGCTCTGATAGATGTATGGGTAGATAGCGATTCTGCCTAGCTTTCATATTAAGTGCAGCCTGATTTATAGGAATTCAGTATATGACTGATAGGCATCTGGTATCAGTCAACACTGCTGGCCTACAAGAAAATAGAATAACGTTTCCTGTGTTTCATTTCTCTTTCCCTACTGCTCTTTATAAAGATTCTGTGATAGAAAGGCAGTTTCTTCATGGTGAAACTGCAGAGAAGCCAAAGCTCAGACTGTCATGTTGCATGGAAATCTATCTAATCCTAAAAATATCTTTATAGAATTGGCGCATGTAGCCCAGTGCTATTTTACACAGATGTTTGTGGTTTCTCTGTTAGTGAAACTGAATAAATTACTTATATCATTGTATCATGTTTATGTTCTATCTGCACCAGCAGACAGTTATATATGGAAATTTGGTACAAATTTAAAAAATCTTTATATGTATGTACATCTACAAAGTATGTAGCACATCTGTGGAGGTGACAGCTATGTGACAAATTGGAAAGCCACGTGACAAATTCATTTAGCATACATCCTTGATAGCCTGAACTATCTTAGTCCACAAATGCATCCACAGATTCCTAGGACGCTTCAAATGACCGCTATATTATTTTAAAAGGGAACTCCCTGCAGAACTGTTTCCATCTGTAACCCTTACTCATATATCAGGATTGGCATATATCAGGATGGGCATAGAGTTTTTGTGAGAGTCCTGGGGGTTGTTTGTTTAGAGGGGCTCTCAGTGGAGGTTGGCTTGTAGCTTGAGTTGCTATAAATTTTTTGTAACTTATGTAAAAAGTGCCTAGAGCTTTGGTCACCTTTTACAATATATTTTACAAATCAAAATAAATGTGTGTGCATGTGTATAACCATTGAACAATGCAGAGATCATTCCTAGAGGGACTATCCATAACAATGGTTACTGTAGAAGTGGGTTAGTTAAAAGTCAGTTGTATACTGTAAAATTTCGTAGATGTACACTGGTTGCATTTACTTAATTATTCTTGGTATTAATATAAGTAAAAGTTCTTCCATGAAATACTCTGACTTTCTCAATCCATTTGAACCTTAGTCTGTTTCAGTGTAATGTTCTGAAGCTGGGAGAGATGCTTTTTGATTGGATTCCGTAATCCCATGAGGGATTACACCATTGTCTGATTCAAAGTTTCCTGCTGTTGCTATATGTGTTATTTCACAGGAATAAGAAGTAATTCCCTGTCAGACTCTTGTGTAGAGATTGTTGCCAGGGAACATCATCCAGTGTTAGTGAGGCGTTCTTTCACTGCTGAAGTTAAGGCATTACATCTATTATAAACTCACTTTTCAATATGTTTTTAAACTTGCCCTCAATTCACTTCAGCCGGAAGTTATATTTCCCAGGAGTAAATATTTATCTTTCCAAAACCAATTGCTGGTTAAAATCCTATGGCCATTTTAAAGTTGTGGTGCAGACAATTTTTGACATTCTAGACAGTTAACATCTTCTTCAGAGCCTTTACATCTCTTCTCTAAAATCTTCTGAGTTTGCAGATCACTGATCCAATGGACAGTAATGAATCTATGTCAATCTAGCTACAGTATTAGTTCATGAAGTCTGCATACCAGAGACTCTCGAGACTGTTTTTGATGGTCAGTGTCACCACATGTATCTTGCATCTGAAGAAGTGAGGTTCTTACCCACAAAAGCTTATGCTCCCAGTACTTCTGTTAGTCTCAAAGGTGCCACAGGACCCTCTGTTGCTTTTTACAGATTCAGACTAACACGGCTACCCCTCTGATACTTGACCACATGTATTGCGTACCCTATCTCTAAATGTCGATGGATACCTTTTTCAGTTGAAATATTTAAAAGCAATTGTCTCCTGGTCAAAGCAGTTGCTTAGGTTTTGTGTAGGGTAGATTTCATCTGCAGTGTGTAGCCAACCTAAGACATTCACAGCCACAGTATATTAGAATTAAATACTTTAGTTATGAGGATCAGAAAGAACTGAATAATATTGACAAATATTTACCGGTACTTATAGACAACATGGGGCATATCTACCCCATGAATGCTTGTAGCACAATAGGTAGAAGCACTTTGTATGACTTTTCTAGTTTGATATTTTCATATAAATGTCCTTTTCTAATTGCATTTTTAGGTTGTACTGGTCAGCGGACATCTGGACAGCTGGGATGTTGGGCAAGGAGCCATGGATGATGGTGGTGGAGCATTTATATCCTGGGAAGCATTATCTCTTATTAAGGATCTTGGTAAATATTTATTTAAAGAAATGTTCTAATGTGTAAGACTTCCAAGACTCTCGGTGTAATTTTTTTTAAACTGAAGATAGTCATCAGTTCCACCATTCTGAGCACAAATATTCACCATCCAGAAAAATATTCCTAAAGATTTCCCTCTTATGCCACCTTCTTCAGAAAACTGAACAAATTAGTCACCTTCCCAAAACAAAAAAAAGAGTGCATAAAGAGTGCTTTGAACATTCATAGCCATCGCCAAAATGTAATGAAAGTTTGTAAATAAATGTATGTTAGAATAAGGACACTCTATGGGCTGTATATTGTTGGCTTGACAGCTCAAATAATTAGAATACAATTTTCTAATTGTGTATGCACCATTTAAGTGGGGGGGAGGGATACATTTTGAACAGTAAAACCTACAGTCCCGTCGCTGGTAAAGTGAAGGAACAACATTCATGGGGTCTGGCTGTGATTGTCCTGGACACTAAGCTTTGGGAAAGCAGTAAAAAATGGAGAAGGAACTATTGACA